GCCACCTTAGGTGTACGTGGCTGGCGCCTTAGCCGGTTGAGCTATAGGCTCCGAGCCACAAGTTTGTGGTTTTAAGAATTTAGACTTCTGAGACTGAAACTAAAACACTACCCCTTCCTTTTGCTTAAGATGACTTGTGTTGAGTTACCTACTTATCGTCAACGCATGTCTGATATTAGGTTGAAAATACTTTCAATTCATTTTTTCACTCATCTCCTCTTAGCAAATATAATTGTCTTAAATATAACCTGCTTTTCACAATGAATTGTCTAGGCAATCACTGGCAGCTTTGCTCCTAAGCTGTCCAGCTGGAGAAGCAGAGGCTACAAACTCAGCTGTGCCCTCTCCTGGCCAGCCAAGCTGACTTGGTACAGCTGACCTCCCTTGAGCTGGAGCTTCCTCAGCTACAGAAGGGAGACACAGCTGCACCTGATTCCTGGGTTTATTAGGAGTGTCAGACAAGCTAATACAAGGACAGTGTTTGCAACAGAGTGGGCAATCAGAAGGCTCTCAATGCATGGTAGTTCGCCACCAAGTTAGACTTAGATATTGAAAGAAATTTGAGAAAATGCAGAAAAGCACACACATATATAAAAGGAAATGATGTTGTACAAAGCTTGAAGTATTTGTTCACAGGCATAAAGGATTATTCCTAAGCTCTACAGAGGAAAATGTTATCAGTATTGGTCTTGAGCGTCTCCTATGGGCTAGATGCTCTTCAAACACTCAGAAAAGTGAAGTGCTCGACCAGGCGCTCAGGGTGGTCTACCTGAGCCCAGCGCCCACTCCACCAAAGGTCACTAGCCCCTCTATCCTGTCCTGACGAAACTTTCCCCACTTAGTTCTCAGGGCTGCACAGGCCCACCTAGGGAAATCACCTGGATGATTTCTTTTCTTTTTCTCTCCCCACCTGCAGTAGGGCTGCACTTCCGGAAGCTTTCTTCTATCACCACCACCTGGGGACCCACCAAGCCTGAACTTGTCCCCTGCCCCAGTGGGAGAGCTGCCCTCTTCAGGCTCTGTGCCTCATTTCCTCCTCTTTGGGTAGCTGGGTGGGAGTGGGATGAAAGGGGACCTTGGGAACAGCTTGATGCCCCCAAACCCTCTCACCCACTAGACATGCCTCCTTGTCTAGCTTCCTGCTGCCTGTCCAGTGAGTCCACAGAGGGACTGAACAAAGCTGGACGGACATTTACTTCCCCCAGGGACTGGGGCCAAGGGCAGGAGCAACTGTTCTGCAGGAGCTGGGTCCTGTAGGGGAGTCCAGGCCATCCAGCCCTGCAGGGACCTTTAGAACCAGTGGTCGCCCCACCCCGGCCCCGGGGACCCTGCCAGCCCACCAAACACAGGGGCCGCTCAATAACCTTTTGTATAATGTAGGGCAGAAGGTAGAAACGATTGGACAAATATACAAACCCTGGTTCATCAAACTTGGGTGCCTGCACCCAAAATGCGACCTGGGGAAATCAATTTATCACTTTCCCCAGGGCTTTGAGCAAAAAGTTTACTCTTCCAACGAAAATGGCAAGTGAGCTGTACGGATCCTGCCAGCCGCAGGACAAAAGACCGACCGAGAACCTTCACGGGTAAGGCAAGGTACCTGCACCCAAGAGAAAACCCGCTCAGGACACGCCTCTCTTCCTAGCCACACCCAAGATGGGCGCCGGCACAGGCCGGTCCCTGAGCTCCGCCCAGTTGTACTTCCGCCTGCCACTCCCAACATGGCCCCACCAGCGAGTCCTGGGGCGGGGCCAAGAGCGGAAATGGGTGTGACCAGGACCGGAGCCCAGTGGGCCCGTCGAGGGAAAATACCGGGGAGTGGGATCCGTGGAGTTAGGAGTAATGATCCCCCCACAGGAGGCTTCCGCCCGGCGGCGGGAGATTGAGGACAAGCTGAAGCAGGTGGGGCTGAGGCTGGGCGTTGGTGAGGGAAAGGGGCCAAGAGCAGGGCCTGGGTATCTCCTGTGGAGGCGGCGGGGGCGGAGCGGCAGGGGCGGGAGGGGACAACCCTGCGCGGAGATGGGGTTGGCGCTAGGCCGTGGGGTCGGGACTGGGCAGGCTCCGTTAGCCTCCGGCTTCGGTGACGGCCCCCGCTCTGCTACCCCCAGGAGGAGGAGACGCTGTCCTTCATCCGGGACAGCCTGGAGAAGAGCGACCAGCTGACCAAGAACATGGTGAGTAACCCCTTAGGTGCGAGGAGCAGAGAGGTCTGCACAACCTAGAGTTTCGGGTGCCTGAGGCCTGGGGTTATGGCAGAGTGGCAATGTGTGGGTTTCAACAACAGCAGTATGGCATTCTCTTACCTAGACCCCTCCCCGTGTTCTGCCCGCTCACTGAAGATGCTGCAGCCTCCGCTGGGCTGGACTTTCTGCTTTATATTGAAATTCTCCATTCGCCCTTGTCTCTTTCTGCAACATTTAGTAAGACTGAGTAGGTAGGTTAGGTACTGGGCATGTACCCTCTCAAGTCGAGTGACCTCAAGTCGATGATCACCCTCGACCCCAGGTAGTCACTTTGAGATTACTGAGGGCAGAAAAGACTCAGCTTTCATCCCAGAGGACTTTAGGGGTAGGAAGAGCTCTGAAGCCAGACAGATCTGGGGTCTAGTCCTTGCCT